AAATTAGCACGATGGTTGCAGTGTCCCATCTAACAAGCAAAGTCAATGAGGAAGCCAGATTCGTTTAACAACCGTATTACTAGCTTAACAACTGCAGTGATTCACTTAACAATTGTTGCAAGAATGGTTGTAAAATGGGGCAAAACTTACTTAAGAGCCCTGCTGGCTCAGTGGTTAGAATGCAGTATTGCAGGCAAATTCTGTCCCCAGCCTTGAGTTCGATCCTGACAGGCTCAAAGTTGACTCGGCCTTGCATCCTTCCAAGGTCGGTAAAATGAGAACCCAGATTATTGGGGGCAATGGGTTGATTCTGTAGACCGCTTAGAGAGGGCGTATGAAGTGAAGTGGTGTATAAGTGTTCTGTTCTATTCTATTCTATTCCATTCTATTCCATTCCACTCCACTCCACTCCACTCCATCTATTCTATTCTATTCTATTCTATTCCATTCTATTCCATTCCACTCCACTCCACTCCACTCCACTCCACTCCATCTATTCTATTCTATTCTATTCTATTCTATTTTCTATTCTTATTCTTTCCTATATTCTATTCTATTCTATTCTATTCTATTCTATTCTATTCTATTCTATTCTATTCTATTCTATTCTATTCTATTCTATTTTCTATTCTATTCTTATTCTATTCTATTTTTATTCTATTCTATATTCTATTTTCTATTATTTCCTATTTTCTATTCTATTCTATTCTATTCTATTCTATTCTATTCTATTCTATTCTATTCTATTCTATTCTATTCTATTCTATTCTATTCTATTCCATCCCATTCCGCTGTGATGGCTCAGTGGTTAGCATGCAGTATTGCAGGCTAACTCTGCTCATTGCTAGCAGTTCAATACTGACCGGCTCAAGGTTGACTCAAGCTTCCATCCTTCCGAGGTCAGTAAAATGAGGACCCAGATTGTTGGGGGCAATAGGCTGACTCTGTAAGCTAATTAGAGAGGGCTGTACAGCACTGTGAAGCGGCATATAAGTTTAAGCGCTATTGCTATTAACTATTGTCTTGCTTAGCAATGGAAATGTTGGGCTCAATTGCGGTCGTAAGTCGAGGACTATCTTCATTTCCTATTTTCCCCAAATAAATATTATTTAAGCAACAAATCCGCGTGTGGCTTTCGCGCAGCATCTTCTCTTCTACCATGTGCTGGTCTGTATGCTGTGTTACTGAGTTGTTTCTGAAAAACAAACTCATCTCTTATGCCCAGATTGCTGCACAAATGATTTAAGCAGCCTATTCCTTTTTATTTTATCGTTTTTTAATTGCTCTTGATCTCATATGGTAATTGCAGAAAAGTGTTTTGGGTTTTTTTTTGGAGCCATGGAAAAGTGATGCTTTTGGGGGAATTTTAGCTCCCGAGAGCTATGCTGAATCTTGAAATGATGCCACTCTAGCAATTTTGTTTGCAAACACCTCAAAAATATACCGGAAAAGGAATAACTGGATCTGTATTTGATTGCAGGCAGGTACTGAAAAAACAGGGACTGTCACCCTTTCAAACAATGAGCTGTAGATAAGTATAGAAGAAAAATATTGTGAACTCTAGGGCATTCCCCTTTTTAAAAAATGCATATATACTTAAGAATATGTAAAAGAAGAATAGGCAGAGCTATGAGTTAAATGAGATTAATGTCCAGCATTCACTTGCAATTCAGAAGAATTTATTGCTCAAGCTTATACACAAGAATCTAGTCCACTAATGTTCAAATCTGAATCAGCACCAGAATTCAACGGAATACAAGGGGTCTGGTCTTGGATCGTTTGTGGCAATGTAAAGACTCTTACATTAAGAAAACCAAGATCATGGCATCCAGCCCTCTCAAATCCTGGCAAATAGATGGGGAAGAAATGGAGGTAGTGACAGATTTTATCTTCCTGGGCTCCAAGTTCATCACAGATGGGGACTGCAGTCAAGAAATTAAAAAACACTTGCTCCTGGGGAGGAAAGTTATGGCAAATCTAGACAGCATACTAAAAAGCAGAGACATCACCCTGCCAACAAAAGTGTGTATAGTCAAGGCCATGGTTTTCCCAGTTGCAATGTATGGCTGTGAAAGTTGGACCATAAGAAAGGCTGAGCGCCAAAGAATTGAGGCCTTTGAACTATGGTGCTGGAGAAGACTCCTGCGAGTCCCCTGGACTGCAAGGCGATCAAACCGGTCAGTCCTAGAGGAGATCAACCCCGACTACTCTTTAGAAGGCCAGATCCTGAAGTTGAAACTCAAGTATTTTGGTCACCTAATAAGAAGGAAGGACTCACTGGAGAACAGCCTGATGCTGGGAAAGATCGAGGGCAATAGAAGAAGGGGACGACAGAGAATGAGGTGGCTGGATGGAGTCACTGAAGCAGCAGGCGTGAGCTTAAATGGACTCCAGAAGATAGTAGAGGACAGGAAGGCCTGGAGGAATGTTGTCCATGGGGTCGCGATGCATCAGACCTGACTTCACAACTAATAACAACAAAGGACTTTTAATTGATGACACATTTAATTCCAGCCGGGATCTGCCTGCTCTTTTCCTACAGAAGTTTCCATGATTGTTCAAAACAAAACAAATCTCTCGGATTTCACCCTGAATACAATAAGGTAATTGTGTGAACGATTGCACAGCCTTGCTTTTAAGCATAAATGGATTTCTGAATAGATTCTCTATTTTCTACTGAGTAAAACAACCTACTTTTAATGAGCTCATTGACCTACCATCCCAAGCCTTAAAGAGCATCCAGAACTGTTCCCAATGAGCTCGTTAGGATTCTCTAGCAATTAGAAGCACAGCAAAATTAATTATAATAATAATGATGGAGGACAGGGGTTTAATGGATTCAATCTCCATCCCGGTTTTGCAGATTTGCACTTAGTTGTAACTTAAAATAGCCTCTTTGCTCTGGTTACCTTTTTCAGTGAGCTCCCCTGGTGCTGGAAACTCTCAGAGACTGCTTAACTGGGTCCACAGCTGAGCCAGAGTTTATTGTGGCTGAATAAGTCACAAAGTACAGAGTTAAACTCTGAACCACTAGCTCTGGGGTTGATGGGGATATTTTCAAAATCTAGGGAGATTCTCAGTCATCCAAGTCACGGTTGTCCCAAAGGTGCTTTTTCGAAAGGCAACTGGACTTTGTTTGTTTTTTCCTTCGGGAAAACTGAAGAAGCCTCTGAATGAGAAGCGAAACGTCTTGAAGCAAAAACAAAAGAAGTCCAGTCGCCTTTCAGAAAAGCACCTTTGGGATATTTTTACTTTTTAATATAAAACGTCATCTTTATACTTATATAATTTATATTGAATTGATTCAAAGGCTTTCATTCAAATTCCACACAGAAATTTTAGAAGTGTAATTTTCATATTGATGTTTGTATTAAACATATACCATTCTGAGGTATATTTTGAAGACTTTGATGGATTTTTCAGAAATATATTTCATTGCCACTGAAATTTCACATTTACTTTTCTTTTTGTTATTATTCCTTCCATCTTTTAGCTTTTATCAATGGTAATGATTGTGCAAAGCAGAGCATATGAAGGAGTTAAATCACAAAATTTCAATCAGCTCACTAAAAGGCCCACTCTGATATAATAAATTAGCACCTAATTCAACATGGAGATGGAAACTCCAAGATAAGGGCCTCTAATGAAGTTCTAAAATAACAGAAAGTTATTACATTTAAATATGGTTTATTTATAGTTTGTGGACTAAACCACAATTGGCGAGACTCACACAATAATCTAAAGCCAAATAGGTTGCATTATGACTTGGAGCAAAGTGTAGATCTAGCTATTGTTGTTTATAAACCATAATTTGTGTCTTACTGTGTGGCTACTTAAAGTATATGATATATGTGATCTCAACTGTTATCTTCAAAAGTTTATTCAGTAAGAGCTACATTCTGTTCATGTATTAGCATACTTGTGAATGCTTGTTTCTTTTGCATTGGGCAATATGAACAGCAACTTCAGTATGAGATCTGTTCAACCAAGGAACACTTGTAATTGTCATGATTTAGGATTCTTCCACCATTGTTGTCTTTGTTTGTCCTTCTGCTAAAATCTTCATGGTAATGTAAAAAATGTTACGGGAGGAATACTGTAACACTGTGAGAAAGGGAAAAGGAAGCAATCCTTGAAGACCTGATGTGGCCTTTTTTATTTTTTTTCGAAATGGGTCCTCAGTAGATCGAGAGTTGATTAGCAATAGATGGTGACATAGAATTGGGGTATCCTTTGAGGAACTCCTGCATCCATTCGAGTTAGATCTTTGAAGACTCAGGGTGCTCTGGGAATGGGTGTAAAACGTAAATGAAATTATGGTGCTTTTGATCTCTATTCTGGCTTCTGATTCCTTGCGCCTGACAAGTTCACAGAAACTAATGCCATGTTAGAGCATTCAGTTGGTCTCTGGGTAATGGTATAGAATGGTGAACCTTTTAGAGACAGAGTGTCCAAAAACTGCCCTCGCCCCGCTCTGCCCCATCTCCGCTCCGCTGCCCCACCCCTCCTGCCCGCAGGACCATCCACAGCCTCCACGGTCCCCCGCAGCAGATCGCCCAGGTGGGCCAGCAGTAGCATGGCGGCCATGCCCTCCGCCTGCGGCCCGCAGTATCATCTGTGCATGATGGGGTGCGAGGGCAGAGTCTTGTCCCCGCTGCCTGGCTGAAATGTCGTTGGCTGCGCTGCTCTGCGTGGGTTGTGTCCAGGGAAACTCTCCTCCAGGGGGAGCTGCTGTAGAGGAGTGGGCCATGGGGAGAGGCGGGGCTGGAGCAATGGCACACGTGCCCACAGAGAGGGCTCTGAGTGCCGCCTTTGGCACGCGTGCCATAGGTTCTCCACCACTGGTATAGATTGCCATACCATTGGAAATTCAGCTAGTTCATTGTTTTAAGATGTCACCTTAAGATCTGTTACACAGATCCTCAAAGACTCTAGTTGTTCTCATCGTCCAACCTTGCCGCTCGTTCATTGCTTCATTTAATGACTTCCTGCATTTTCAGTCTTCTTTTCAGAGCAGTGGGATTCCCCGCCTGATTATCAGCTCTACCGTCTGGGTCCCAGAGGGAGGCATGTTGCAAATCACAAAGAAAAATCTGCAAGCTGAGATGCTGGGGGCCAGTGATTCTGCGATCGTCTATACAATTAGGGACAAGCCACAATATGGTAAGTCGGGATGTATGAAAGCTCTTGGGTTGTTAAGTGAATCTGGGTTCCCCTTTGACTTTGCTTAAAGAAGGTTGCAATAGACGGGATCACATGACCCCAGGACACTGCAACCAACATAAGTACTTCAGTGCAGATGCCCAAGGTTCAAATTTTAATCAGCTGACCATAGGTTGCTGCAAATGTGAAAAATGGTCATAAGTCACTCTTTTTCAGTGCCATTGTAACTTCAAATGGTCACTAAACGAATGCTTGCAAATTGGGGGCTATCTGTCCTTCCTTTAGAAGTTGTGGGGGCTCCATCACTGGGTTTTTTTAAAGAAGAGATTGGACAGCCACTTGTCTAAAATGATATAGGATCTCCTGCTTGAGCAGGGTGTTGATAAAAGACCTCCAAGATCCCCTTCAACTCTGTTATTCTACATTCTGTTATATTTGTTAGGGTGAGAGTAGCAAAGGTTAAGTCTAGCAAGATTCTGGAGGCAGGTTATTCCACTGATTAATTGTTCTCACTGTCAGGAAGTTTCTCCTTAGTTCTAGGTTGCTTCTCTCTTTGGTTGGTTTCCATCCCTTGCTTCTTGTCCTGCCTTCAGGCACTTTGGAGAATAGCTTGATTCCCTCTTCTTTGTGGCAGCCCCTGAGATATTGGAACACTGCTATCATGTCCCCCCTAGTCCTTCTCTTCATTAAACTAGACATACCCAATTCCAGCAACCGTTCCTGATATGTTTTAGCTTCCACTCCCCTGTCCCCTGTGCTCATGTAGAGCTGAGAAGAACTGAGCCTTTTTGTTGCCTTGCCTGGTGTCTACATGAGACCTAGCATGTTATAGCAAAAGCTCATTAGGTAAATATGAACTAGTCACTAAATTCCACCCACTTTACGTCCCATACCTGTTCTAAGAATACCATGAAGAGGAAGAGAACTTTGCTTGTATATTTAAACTCTTTTAAGATCTGGCGATAGATACACATATCCTTAATAGGTTTTAAAAAAATGGAAGAGATAGATCAGGGGTAGTCAACCTTGGCTCTTTTATGACTCGTGGACTTCAACTTCCAGAATTCCTGAGCCAGCTGTCCACGAGTCATAAAAGAGCCAAGGTTGACTACCCCTGAGATAGATCATTAAATAAATGAGTTATGTTGAACCATCTCTCTAAAATTGTATGCCACTCAATCCTTGGCATAAGAGAAAAATGCCGTGTGCCCGAACTTTCCCGTCTTATTGTCTCTGACGGGATCAAAGCTGTCAGTTTCATTTACAGATCTCTGCCTCCCAGGTTTCTAAAAATCTCACAAGGTTGTTAAAACTCAATTTTGGCGGTATCACCTTGAGACTTTGTCAAAATCTCACGAGACCGATGGCAGCGTTTCAACCGTATAATTTTTTTTTTTAAAAAGAATGATATAATTTGGAGTTCATGGGTCCAGAAAAAATGTTATGGACACTGTTTGGCCAAACTCTGCCTAAGGCAATCCTGCAGAGTTTTTCATGGCCAGTTCAAAATCTGCCTTTTTGATGCTGTGGCTGGTCAAAAAAAAAAAACCCCTCCCATTGTTCTTCTTGCTAATTTTTACTGAGCTTGAGGAAGGAACATGTATTTATTTAATCCAATTTCGAGTTGCCTAGCTCCTTAATGACTCTGGCTAATTTATATTTGAAAGAATGAATAGACAGACAGATGCACAACCCATAGAAGACAACATAGTACCAATAAAAAAAACAATGGGAACTCTGCAACCATCCTGGGAGACCCACTGAAAGAACTACCAGGTTTTCAAGTTTTTTGTAACTGCCATTAGGGTTGAAGCTGCATGAATCTCTGGGAGAAAGACAGAGAAATCGTCCAATTCAAATTTCTCTAAAATTAGGTGGATAATTTTGAAAGCTTTTCAAGCCCAGCCTAATGACGGGCCTCAAGCTGACTTGAGAATAGGTCACTGTTCTGTGAACTTCTGAGAATCCATAATAGAAATGTATACAAATGTAATCTGTCAGAGCATGCACAGTCTTATTGTACTGAGATAACCCAGGAGTAAAAACAGTAAATGGTGGTCTATATTAAATGGTGGTTTATTTAACACTATCTACAATATTATACACCAGGAACAATATACATACAAGTGGTAATACAGCAAACTCCAACACATAGCAGTTAGAACAGGAAATGGACAAGAGAGAGACACTCCAGCAAAAGCCTTCCCTTTTATACTCAGGCTCTTAAAGGGATACAGATCCTGCTTGCTCTTAAAGAGACACAGTCCCTGCTGAGTCATTCCTATCCACTTTATATTACATTACATCATACATCTCACATTATACAAGCTTGTTAACTGTTGAATTATTACCTTGACATAATCTGAAAAGACTACATTGCTTATAATTATAATTATAGAAAGTTCCTACCTACATACAAACATATGTATGCGCTTGTATCACAGTGTGCCTTAGAAAGGAACATTTCTTAATGCAGGGTCTGCACGTTTTTCATTTTAAGTCACAAAGAACTCTTCTAGATTGAAAAAAAAAATAAACTAACGCTACGTGACCAGACTTTGCACTTCCCAGGAAAAGGCCTAGAAAAACAAGATTAGATGGTATTCCACACAGGATAAGCACTTCGCTGTTTGATGTATATTAGTTTGTAGCTAATAAAATACTTTTTGAATGCAGAGTTTGCAGAGAGAGGTGCTTTAAAAAGGGTGTTGTTGAAAATACCTTTTGTACTGTTGAGAGGGGATCGTGGCGGTGGTCCCTCTGCTTATTAGTATGTGTTAGAAAGAATAATGTAGATGACAAGTTCAAGGTGGTCCTCAACTTACGGCTATATTTGGGTCCAGAATTCCCTTGCCAAAACAAGGTAAGTAAGTCGTGCCTGGTTTTATAACCTGTTTTTACCATGGTTGTTAAGCAAATCACTGCAGTTGTGAAGTGAATCATTCAGTTGTTAAATGAATCTGGGTTTCCCCGTTGATTTTGCTTGTCGGAAACTGGCTGGGAAGGCTCCCAAATGCCAATCATATGACCCCCCCCCCCAGGGTGCTCTAATTATCGTAAATACTGTGCATGCTGGTTGCCAAGCACTCACATTTTGATCATGTGACTATGGGGTGGTTTGCAGTGGTTGCAAGTGTGAAGACCGGCTGTAAGTCATTTTTTTGTGCCATTGTAACTTTGGTTATAAATCAAGGACTATCTGTATTTTATTTTCAGAGAGTTCTTATTGCTCGCAGGGGGAGCATGATGGCTCAGCGGTTAAGATACTGGGCTTATTGGTTAGAAAGTCAGCAGCCCAGGTTTGAGACCTGAGCTCCACATGATGGGGTGAGCTCCCTTCCTTGCCTCAGCTTCTGCCAACCTAGCAGTTTGAAAGCATACAAATGCGAATAGATAAACGGGTACCACTTCAATGGGAAGGTAACAGCGCTCCGTGACGTCATGCTGGCTGTGATGACCCAGGGCACAGAACCGAGGCAAGGCAGCCAGCTGGCAATTCAAACCGCCCTTTAATTGCTCCAAATTTTCCCCAAATGCTCCCACTTTTCTGGCAAGCCTCCAAACACAGGAAAACACACACACACCTTCAGCCGCCTCTGGATGCAAGTAATTTCACATACAGTCTGAGTAGGAGAGGTATTTACTCAAGGCCACAGAGGCAACAAGGAAATGACACACACATCATAAATCTAACGAATCTGTGTGAATACCCGCTTGCCTGAGCAGTTTCAAAAGGGAAGCCAAAATACAGTCCGAGATCTATAAACATCCAAGCAACGTTGTCAGCCAGTCCAATGGTCAGAGTGTCCAGGTTTCCAAACAGAAGTCACAGAACAAGAGATCAACAACAACGCACACAAAACTCCAAGGAATCAGCGTTTGTTCCTGACAAATGCCTCTCCCCACAATGTCTCCTTAAATCTCAGTCTCCAGGTGTGCCTTTTGGAGAGGGGCGGGACGCTCTCCTCCCAAGTAGTTGAGCCTGCCTGCGTTGTTCCCTCCTTCTCTCCATTTTCCGTGCTCTAGGATCAAGAGGGGGTGGCCCTTGCTCATCGCCTGAACTCTGTCTCTCCTGTTCCTCCTGTCCCAATCCTGAAGGGCCTTGGCCTGCCTCGGCCTACTCTTCCCCACATTCCTCTGAGGCCACAGACCCCTCTCCCTCTACCTCCATAGGGTCCCGTTCCAGCCCAGCTCATTTTCCTCCGCAGATTCAGGCTCCGACAGAGGCATGACACTGGCCATATGACCACGGAAATGTCTTCAGACAGGGCTGGCTCAATGGCCTTGAAACGGAGATGAGCAGAGCCCGCTATAGTTGGCAACGACTAGCGGCCTAAAATCCACAAGGATTCCTTATTACTCGCACTTTTTTCTTTTTTCTGAAGGTATAATTTCTCTGGTGGCATTTCCCTAAAGATCTCCTCAGCACCACATTGATGACAAAACCAGAAATTACCCCCTTCAGGATGGGAGGCAATAAGTAACCTCACTTCCCCCCTCATCTCCGAAATTACCAGAAATTGATAGATTTGTACAATGCAGTCTCTTTAGACCTAAAATTAAATCAACATTAGGGAAGCAGGGAGAGCGGAAATGTTTCTGTGTAATCTTCCGTATCCATTTCTCTCATTTTCAGGCTCTCCCAATACCCAGAAGATATTTCAAAGTCTTTAGGCAAGGACAATTAAGTCCCATCAATAGTTTTTTGTATCTCTGCCTACCTCGTTTGAGTTTAGAGTAGTAGATGTTGGGTGCTAAAGTAAAATGCCCCGACCTCTTTATTAATTGGCCCTATTTATAGCCACTGCAATAGAGGAGACTCTTAGCATTTTCCAATACCTCTGTAAAACCATCGAATCAAGAGTCTGCGGAGTAATAAATAAAAATAAAAATCACAGGGCAAAGCAGCACCATAAAACATCCTTAACAGGCAGATCAAACAAAGTAAAGATGAGCCGTAATCAGTTAACACATTAAAAAAATATATCACAAAATCGATA